AGTGATCTGCATGCAACACAGTGGATTGATCATTATAGAATGTGAAATTGGGTTGTCCATGTTGTCATTATGCCTGAGCAACAACTGATAATCCTAACATTCCAAATTATTTACTGTAATATTATTTGCATCTCAGTGCGAATGGACATTGTGCACAATTGTTTTGTCTTAAACTTCAGGATTGCACACAACAACTGCAAAGAACAATTCAGGATCTGGATGATGATAATATCAGGCCCTTTGAACACAAATTGTTAAATTCTTGGCCCAGATGGGGTGTGGGCCTTGCAGAAGTGTCCAGAAATGCATGTTTAACATAAGATCAACTTGAGTAATATTATGTCACAAAACCTGAGAAGCTTGATGTCAGAAATTCAGATCACAAAGACAAATATTGTCAGAGAGCACTGCTCTGATGGATGTCAGTTCCTGCTTGACTCCTCATGACTTAGTCAGCTCCTCCCAACAGAAACACATCCACCATAGAAAGTTTCCTTTATCATGTTTCTATGATGTCATCAATGCAACAAAACCTAAACCGTGCTGTGAAGCAGCGTGCAGTGATTTCCACGTGTTGAGAGCGTTCACTGCTCCTCCCTCACCTCATGCTATGTGACATTTGCTCCAGCATAAACATTTAATCATGAATGCTTTATATGTATTTAAACCCACCTCATCCTTTTTTATAGTTGGCTAATACGCTTAAAGCCCGTGTTGCCATACAAGGCTTATATACTGTAAGACTTTTACATTTTTGCGGCTCCAGACAGATTTGTTTTTTGGTCCAATATGGCTCTTTGAGCAGTTTGTGTTGCCAACCCCTGGTGTAGACCATCCCGTGCGGCAGCAGAACAGCTCCTTCAGCAGCCGATGGTACTGGTAGTGGTAGTGGCAAAAGCTGGAGAGGATCTGGCATCACTGTCACAAAATATGGTGCAGCTCTGACCCACGCCAAGCCAAATTCTCACTTGTTAAGCAAAAGGAGGTCAGTGCTCATACAACAACAACAAAAAAACGAGGAAGAGTGCAGATCTACCGAAGCGCAACCAAATATGGATAGCGAGCACTCAGTGGTAAGATTTATTCCAGAAATATAGGTATGTATAAATTATATATTTAAAATGAGCATCCACTACCTTGGCTTCATCCAAGGTAGTCCGATGATAAGGGGATATAGCCGAAGCGCTTCTGATTTTAATTCTTATTTAACACCGAGGGATTTTTGAGAGTTTTTGGCTTTCTTTTTCAAAAAATAATTACAGATGTGAAAACTCACAGTTTCTTGGCAAGCACCACAAGTTGCCCCACAGGTATTGGACATAATCAATAATTCATTAAATAACTGTCTGAAGCCATTTTTATAAGGAAAATAATCCTGTTAATTTTTCCATACTTCTGAGATAACACAATGAGAGCTGAGCACAATACCATCCAGCTGTTTTGGATGCCATTGTTTATGTGGTCAGTCCAAATTAGACTTTGAATTTTTTGCCATTCATGATACTTGCTTTTAATCATCATTTCACTACTGTGGATGCTAAACATATTTTCCACCTCTCTGACAAACACATATTTTTTTGCCTCAGTATAACTGCACTTTTTCGCTCTCCTACCTGCGGTTTCCATTAGTAACCATGAAATAACATTGATCAGCAGGCTCAATTACACATTGATGTTCACGGGGTGCTTATGGAACTTTTATGGAGGACTGTTGGAACGTAGGAGGCTGAACATGAGTTCTGCAGTGCTTTAGGTACAGCTGTGATCTACAAGGAAAAAACACTTTGTGTTTGCACACACTTTTAAAAGAACTTTTTTTTTAATGCTCAATCCGTATCATTGTTGTACGCACACTTTTAGTGTGGATCCTACAGAATGTAAATAAAACCCCTGGTATATTTCAGGTTCTTGAATTGGTTTACAATATTAATGTAGGGAGTCAATCCAGAGACCAGTATCTTTCAGTAAAAAGCGTTAAATGTTTTCAAAATTTCTGTGTATTAAACTTCCAAGATGTTCTATTGCCTTAGAAATATGCTCTTTAATTGGTTTCCTCAGGTATTTATATACTTCCGGTCTTGCTCCTTTCTGTGATTTCCATGGTAGGTCCCCAGGCCAGAGAAACTGTAGGACAGTATCTCAGCATGATTAAGAGTGTATGGTGGGTGTCAGTGTGTAGAGGGAGGAGAACTGCCTGGATAAAAGTGTTAAAAGAAGTCAGCCACACCTGACTGCAAGTAAAGTGCTTGCAGTCCATTTATTTTGACATGATGACAAGCAGGAGAAGGGTCCCTATAACATGCTCTGTTGAAGAAGACACATGTAGAATACATGCTGACATACCAAACATACATCAAAGTGTTATAAGGGCATCATGTACTGGTTTCTGCTTCTGTACATGTCTTCAAAAATGCTGACAAATGTGGCATCTGATTTTGCAATGTATTTCCTTGATGTGGAACATGTCATAAAAGAAATTAAATGATAGAAATAACCTTTAAAAAAATAAAAAGGTCCAGTGCAAACTATTTCGATGCTGATGTACACTGTCGACCTTAGGGTCGATAGTGTACAGTAGCTCACTGATGTGTACATGTTAATCTGAATGACTTGCATTTACGTTCTTTAAATAAACTCCCCTGCTTGATGAGTGTAGGCTCCCTTACAGTGAGTTATCCTACCAAAGCAGAGAATCCATTTTTACTTACGGTGTCTGTGGGGGTTTTATAGTGTGGATTTTGTTATTTGATGATAGCTGAGTGGGTTGTAGTAGTTAGATGATAGTGAATTATTCTAAATCACTACATGTTCTCATTGAATTCACACCTACACAAATATCTACCTAAAAGTCATAACTTGCTTTTGTGCTCAAAGTACAATCACTGTTCACAATTGTCCCTTTTTTTGTGTGTGGGTGTGTGTGTATGATGTGTATGGTATCTTGCAAAAAGCTATCAAGAGAGTACCACTGTTGACTTTTATATGTTTAATAAAATGTTTGCATTTTACTAAATCTCATGGCACGAGTACATTTCTCTTGAAAATGTAAAACTCATTACATTCTCATATGGCTGCAAGAACTGCTCTTACTACTTTTTCTCCATTTTATTTTCCTTTCATTAAACTGTTGCCTACATCAGAGTGATATAACATTGGCCTGTCTGAACACTACGGGTCCTTTAAGTCATTAGCAAGGAGTATTAATGAGCTGAGGGCTTAGAAGCCCCCCAAAGACTAAAGAGTGTATGATGTAGAGGGGATGAGGGCACTAATTCTCCAAAGTGCCCTAATAAATAGCGGATTAGCAAAGCCTTCTATTAGCCAAAGTCTTGATAAAGCTAAGCTAATTCTCTATAGCTAGACTAGGCAATGCAGCTAAAGCATTAGTTAGCACAACTGCTGTAATGTATAAGTAAAGGCTGGATCAAGTCTTTCATAGAAGCCCTCTGGCATAACCACTTCTGACATATAGAGGAATTCACGCTCACACACAGAAGAGAAACTCACAATTTATGTAAATCAACAAGGGCAATTTCCTCCACTAGATCTCCAAAGGCATGTGTTTAATTATTAAGTTACTCTTGGAAAGATAATGAATCCTAAACTTATTGATTTTTAGCATGATTGCTGTGACTAACAAGTATTCTGTGAGTCGGTGATTTGTAATCATATATTGTTACACTTAAATTAATTCCTAACAATACAAACGTCAATAATGGCTGGTTAAATAGAAACACAATAAGCCCTTACTCATTAATCATCTACAGCCATGCCTAGGGAAATGGGTCTGGTATTAAAAAAAGAGGGATGATATTGTGTTCATACATACAGACATTCTTTCCACATTTCCAGGTTTCAGTAACACTTTGTGAGGGGATAGCTAAACCCACTACAACTTTTAAACATCCCAAGATATTTGTTGAATTTTTTATGAAAAAGTCAACAGCTACGCTTATGAACATAAACCCTTTGCAAGTAATATAAATACAGGTTTAACATTCAGAAGCAACTTAAAAAACTGCTTCGGTTTAGCGTGGCGGTTGAGCAGGTGTTCAGTGCACGACTCATTTATGGAGGTTTTGATCCTCAATGTGCCTGTTATTGGTTTGAGTCTCTACCTGGCAAGCTTTGCCTCATGTCTTCTGGCTCTCTCTGATCTTGAATCTTGTCTGCATACTATCAATAATAACTTAAATGAAGGCCTTTAAAAAAAGTTGCTTCTGTTTACAGTGCCATTCTGAAACTGTATAGAAGCCCTGGATTGAAATTTGATTCAGTGAATGATCCAATATGAATTGATTTTTTTTATTATTTATATTTTATTCCATGAGTAGTATTGAGGCATTTCCCACATACCATCCAATACATTTGGTTGCCATATTGTGCAAGATTTCCTTTACAGAAATAATATCTCTATTCAGAATCTTAATTAAATAATTTACTTAACTCTCCCGGGTCTAGGGTATATGTGGGTATATATCCATACAGTATATTAAAGTATATTATAATAAGACAGTTATTTGGCATGATAGCTGAAGCTTATCTACAAGAGAAACAAGACTAATCACCGGAAAAAAAAAGAGTAAACATAAAGCTAGTGGTTGAACTAACAAATACTGCAGAATTGGAGAATAGAAATTAAATGAAAGAGAAAGAAATGAAAGAGAAAAGTGGTTCCTATAACAGCCTAGTTATAGAGATAGCTCAGGATAACCTGAGCCACTCTAACTCTATGCTTTATCAAAAAGAAAACTTTTAAGCCTAGTCTTACAAGTAAACAGGTTATCTGCCTCGCAAACAAAAACTGATAGTTGGCTGCATAGGACAATCGGATAACTAAAAGTTCTGCTTCCCTTTCTACTTTTAGAAATTTTATAGCTCACTAGTAAATCTGCAGATTGAGGATGACGTGCTCCATTTTTATTTTGTATAGTTTTGCAGATGAATATTAAATAATCAGATTTTCTATCGTCTTCTCTCTCCATTTTTTTTTTCTCAAGCTTGCGAGTTGATGAACCGTGGTATCCTGGCTCTGGTCAGCTCTATTGGCTGCATGTCAGCTGGTAGCCTTCAAACACTGGCTGATGCCATGCACATACCGCATCTCTATATCCAGCGCTCCCCAGTGGGTACACCTCGCTCAACCTGCCCACCTACCAGTCGAATACCTGGAGCTGACGACTACACTCTCATGGTACGCCCACCTGTGTTCCTCAATGAGGTCATCATGCAGGTGGTGTCTGAATACAGCTGGCAGAAGTTTGTCCTCTTCTATGATTCTGATTTTGGTAAGTCAATAAGTTATGTCTGCTTGTTTGTTTGTTTGTTTGTTTTTTCTTTCCTGTGCTATCCTCCTGCCCCCTATCAAAAGGGGAGACAGTGCAAGACCAATTATAACCAGAGCATAACAAAATGGGTCTAATTTATCAAGATGCTTTTGTGGGATTTTCTATTTTATTTACAGTAGTTCATTGGTATCAGCAACTTCCCTAAAGTGAAGGTTTCTGATAAATACATTATCAGCCATACAGTGAAGTCTAAAAACCTTTTTCCTGATCTACTCTCTCTCTCTTTTCCAAGCATTAACTCAGACAAAGGTTGATACTGTCATATGAACACATTTAGTCATAGAGAAAAGTGCCATACTTTTCTATTTCAGTGTCATGCCAATTCCCTGCTTGTGTGTATGATTTGTCATTCACCCTCCTTCTCCCTCTGGGTCACCATCTCTTTCCAGCCCATTAGCTCTAACATTAGGCTACAAACAGCCTATGTACCATTTATTATCTTGCCCCAGTACTAGTCAAAAACTTCAGATTACAAAATATAATTCTGTATTCTGTGTGTGACGCCTGTCCAAAGACCATACAGTATGTGTGTCAACAAATCATTTATATCTATCCGGCAAATTATGTCCTTTCTGACCTTAGACCTTCCAATATCAGACTTCAAGATTACACCTAGAACAAAGACAGTTAAACAGGAGACTTTCATGGTAAATGAAAGGCTATTTAAATATCAGTGCATCTGTAATGTCATCTGTTATATTTACCTATTTTAGTATTCCATTAGTAAAGTGGCTTACCTTAGATTTAGGGGCTTTAAGAGAGGTTGTTTTGTGAAAGCATGTCCAAACTTTGTAGGATGAAAAAAACAAAACTACAAACCCAGTGCAAATAGAAATATAGAATTACCAGAAAAGCAGGTACAAACATTTCTCTAAGTGCTTTATTGAATATACAGATCATATGCTTATGAACAATACATGTACGATACTGGGAGGAGGTTAACATTCCAGTATCCATTTCGAGCTTGGCTCTTTAAGCCTTGGTCACGATCTCATTTTGTCGGGCCTTAAAAAATTGTATCAAGGCTGGTTCAAGACTTTGTGTGTGTGTAAAAACAATAGTGATAATAGCACAATCTCATTGTATGTGAATGAAACAATGAAACAAACATCACTCTAAATTGGATGTTGTGTTTGCTCATGATAAGTATGAAATGTCGGTGTGAGAAGTTTTACAATACCATGGAATTTGATTGTTTGATTATTTCAATTATTGTTACCATCATTGCTTTAACATAGCGAGCTTTTGCCATCTTGCTTTCACTGAGAACACACGTGCTGTCTTATCACCGAACAATGCCATCGTTTTGAAAATTATGGAATTTGCTTTTCAAAAATATGAGGAGGTTGAATAACAGGGAAAGACACTAGAAGGCGTGTAATTCTGTCAACCTCCAGGATTTAGCATATGTTAAGTAAGCAAGACTATCTTTAGTTTTAACATGAATTTACAGTGGAGACAAATTAAAAGTGTCTAATTTACTTGAACCTTCAGGTAAATGTGACAAATTCATGTGACAAAAAACAGAATTAATGAAAATACATGCATAACACACACTTTTAACACCTAGCAGCTAAATAAAAAAACTCATAAACATCACCAACAGAATCGGATATGTAATCTATTTTCTGTGACGTTTGATGGTCATGTTATATATATTTTGAGCAGACTAAAAAAAATTAGTCTCATTTAATCTGATTAGCACACTTGATCAAAGTTAATCAAAAGTATGTGTATTGATACTCCCAGGATATGTATTTTTGGAGCCGTTAGTTTTGTGGTGTCCATGGTTATGAGGACTTTATATATATATATATATATATATATATATATATATATATATATATATATATGGAATCCCACAAGCAAATGGTAACCTCAAAGAACAATAAGTCTTGGGCAATAAATAGCTACGCTCTACCAGTAATCAGACAACCTGCAGGAACAATAAGCTGCTAGAAGGATGAGATACAGGACAAAAAAGCTCCTAACCATACATGGATGGTATCACCCAAAATCCAGCACCCTCAGACTGTACGCTAGCTGTAAGGAAGGAGGCTGAGGACCAGTGAGCGTTAGAGCCACTATCCAGGATGAAACAATTAAGATGCAGAAGTTCATCAAGGACAAGGCTCCAACAGACAACATGTTCAGTGAATGTCTCAGAAAATGGGCAACAGAAGATGAGGTGCTTGAGGTTCCGTCATGGGAGGATAAGCCCCTACATGGGATGTACCACTCAAACATAACCGAAGTGGCGTATATCAGGAAATCCTACCAATAGCTAGACAAAGCCGAACCTAAGGACAGCACAGAGGCACTGATCATGGCTGCACAGGAGCAGGCCCTAAGCACCAGCGCAATAAAGGCCCAGATCTACCACACGAAAAAAACGACCCCAGGTGCAGACTGTGCAAATAGGCCCCTGAGACAATCCAGCACATAACTGCAGGGTGTAAGATACTAGCAGGGAAAGCTTACATAGAATGCCATAACCAAGTGGCTGGAATAGTGTACAGGACCATCTGTGCAGAGTATGGGCTGGAAACCCCACGGTTACAGTGGGAAACACCTCCAAATATGGTAGAAAATGACCAAGCCAAGATCCTGTGGGACTTCCAGATACAGACTGACGGAATGGTAATGGCAAAACAAACCGGACATTGTAGTGGTGGACAAAAAGCAGCAGAAAGCCATTGTGGTTGACATAACAATATCAAGTGATTGCAACAACAGGAAAAAGGCGCATGACAAACAAGAGAAATACCAGGGACTCAGAGATGAGCTGGAGAAAACCGGGAACCTGACTCCTTCACCAATCTGTTTTTCTTTTCTCTTAGTCAGAAAGAAAATCTGCTACCTTGTTCAGTTAAAGCAGGTGCTTCCTAGAGGAAGACGTCTTACATGGATACTCTTCAACTTTCAAAAAAAAACATTTATTTTGCATATTATAGACCCTTTAACTATTTTTCTAATCTGATGAAATGCCAAACAAACCATACTTATAAAATAACTCCAAACAGGGATATCAGTCCCTTTCTTAGTTCATACAGTCTATGTGTGTTTCACGGTTTCTGTCACTGACTATATTTTTTTATGAGCAACGTTTTTGTCTTTAAAATGACAAACATATTTAAGCCTAGATGTCTATATTCATAAATCACCATTATATATTAAAATATCTGATGAATATAATTTAATATTGTTGTCCACTTTACTAAAAATGTGAGCTATTATTATTCTTTTGATGTTCTAGCACAGGCCGTTACTTTTTTCTTTAATTATCAACATTTTTAAGTTATTTTCTGCACCTAATTATTTGATTAGCAATCCAAGTCTTGCCAATTAAATGTTTAAATGAAACAATGGCCTCTTGGAATATTTTAAAATTCAAAGTCTTCTTTAAATTAACATGGTATAAAAATAGAATAGAATAGAATAGAATAGAATAGAATAGAATAGAATAGAATAGAATAGAAAATCCTTTATTGTCCCACAATGGGGACATTCTGGTGTTTAGAGCAGCAAAAAGATTATAGAAACAAAATGGCTACACAAATATGGACCTTACAAAAATAAATAACATGATAGTGAAGAGTTAAAAGATAAACAATAAAACACTAAACTACACTGTAAATTGTTTCAACAATATAAAAAAAAACTGGAGAATAAATAACCAATATACAGCTATGGACAGTTTTACAGTAATGAATATTTTAAAATCGCAGCAAGACCAGAGATATGCAAAATGACAGCAGTGTGTTATTTAACTAAGGAAAAAAGTGTTATTGAAGTGACTTTATGATATTCAATGAAATTATCTTGGTGTTTTATCAAATTTGCCAAAGGAGTTAACCCCTTGGTTGAAATGTTCTGAAAGCTGGGCAGGTTGCCTAGGATACCATTTTGATGTGCCACCCCTGCTCTTCATCCCCTCGCTACCACCAGTACTTTAATCAGCTACAGTTGATTGAGGGTCTCTCCTCATGAACTTTACTGTAATTGTTCACCATGTTTGAATGGACAGTTTTTTCACATAGTTTGTGGGCTAACATCATATGAAAACTGAAAGAGAAAAGAGCAGATAACCTGTGTGTGCAGGCGCACAGGGGTTTAATTACCATCTCTACAGGAGGTACAGGATGTCCTTTGAAGGATGTCCTTTCTCTGGTAGGGGAGTGGCAAAGGGCTTGTGGTCTGGAAGAATTTTGATCCAACTAATGTTCAAAAAGAAATCCATTCATCTCATGGCTGTTTGGCACAAAACACCTTTTAGGTTAACCAGAATGATTTGAAAACTCAAGTTACCAATAAATAAATATAACTTTTTATATCTTTACAACTGAAAAATCTAACCAATGAGAATGTGATTGAATTTAGCCCTAACATGTTTGAGCCATATTGGTGAAAACAACTCTGTGCTAGTGCTTCAAATGTGTTGAAGCTTTCCAACACTTTTCATTTGAATCTCACTTGAATGACTGATTTAAGTGCTGCCTAATGGAAAATACTAACAGTAACGCCCCTCAAAAGTAGGACAGAATAATAGCCTACCTCAACGTTTTAGCTTTAAAGCAGTGTAATGTTTATCTGCCACAGTTGATTTCTCTTTTTATTGATTTCCCCCTTTTGCCATAATGAAAATTCATTTCACTTGCTGGGGTCAATTAGCACAATTAACACATTGCATGCATTTATCTCCTGTGGGATCTGTACATTGGATTTGTTAAGGAAAGCTTCTCCAGACTAAATCTCAAACCTTCCATACTTTAATGTTATACATCGATGTGAATTCATCTTTGAGAATGGAAATGGTTTAATTGTCAAACTCAATGGAGGGTCAATGAACAATGGAGACCTTTTTGCTAAAAGGACACTTCTAAAGGGATTTATTTTAATGGATTATATTTTCAGCTAATATAGGGTGACCAGACGTCCTC